TGAGCAACCTGCTCTGGTGGGAGGTGTCCCTGCCCAGGGCAGGGGTTGGGGCTGGGTGATCTCTAAGGTCCTTTCCAACCCCTAAAAATTCTGTGAACTGTCTGTTCCATGTACTGGGCTTGTGATTCAGAGGGTTAACCTCATACATGCTCATCTGACAAAGGAACCAACTTTTCCTCCAGCTTACTCGACATTTTGGCTGCAAGGAAGGATCCCCATGGGCTTTCTGGTGACATTTTGATCAATGGATCTCCTCAGCCTGCCAACTTCAAATGTACCTCCGGGTATGTAGTCCAGGTAAGTAGTTTTTATCACTCTGTGGATTCTTGTAAGAATCTTGTAAGATAAGAAGAAACTTGTAAGAAGTTGCTGCTGTGTTGCAAGTACCTTGCCTGGATCCAAGAATCAAGGCTGCTGCAGCAGCAATTGTCCACACATCCACCTTTGCTGGGAAACAGACTCTGCTTTGTATTTGAATCTGTTTCCTTCCAGTCAATGGGAGCTCAGTCAAAGCTCCAGTTAAAGAGGAGGCTCAGGGGAGACCTTCTCACCCTCTGCAACTCCCTGACAGGAGGTTGGAGTCAGGTGGGGGTTGGTGTCTTCTCCCAGGCAACCAGCAGCAGGACAAGAGGGCACAGACTCAAGCTCTGCCAGGGGAGGGTTAGGTTGGAGATTAGGAAGAGATTTTTTAGGGAGAGAGTGCTCAGGCATTGGAATGTGCTGCCCAGGGAGGTGGTGGATTGACCATCCCTGGAGGTTTTCAAGCTGAGACTGGATGTGGCACTTAGGGCCATGGGCTAATAACCGCAGTAAGGCTGGACTTGATGATCTTGGGGGTCTTTTCCAACCCTATTGGTTCTGATTCTATGACAAAAGAAGGAAATCCACATGCCTCTTTTCCTGTCTTTCCCATTCCCCTGCTCAGCAGCACTTAATGCAGTTTAGCAACACCTGAAGAACTGCATCTATCAAAACCCCTTGTCAAAGCTTGTTACAGAAAGGTGTAGCTCAAAACACACATCACTCAGCTTCCTACATCTGACAGATTCCCTTGGCAAGAGACAAGCAGATCATATCTCCACCACCTTCCCTCCTTCTTCCTTTGCTGAAACAAATTTGGGAAACCTTCACTCAAACCCACAGGGACCCAACTTCTCTTTTCCTTTCTTCTTTTCTCCCTGCTCTCACCTGCTGTGGGCTGAGGCTGCACTGACAATCACACTGCTAATGACCTGAGCTGTAGCTGCTCCTTAGGTCCCTTCAGCCCTTCAGTCTCTCCCTCAACACCTCCAAAAAACCTGAATCAGGTAAGAATACAGAAGGGATAGTTTTTAATGCTTTGCTCTTTATGCATTTTGATCTCATGCATGAGGGAGGATGTTCCTATATTGCCTTATGAAGGCAAATACAATTATGTGCATGAAACATCAACACTGCTATGACATAGGTGTTGACAATGCACCTTACCACATGTTCTGGTCATTGCTTCTGTCCCTCTGGTTGCAAAGATAGCATGAAACAGAGGTAGATGCAGTTCTCAGAGGAATAAATAGCGATTGTTAAGCAGCCTTCAAGTATCTACTGTTTTTTCTTCAATGAAGGATGATGTGGTGATGGGAACCCTGACTGTGAGAGAAAACCTGCAGTTCTCAGCAGCACTTCGCTTGCCAAACTCAGTGAAGGAGCAGGAGAAGAATGAACGAGTTAATCAGATCATCAAGGAACTGGGTTTGAGCAAAGTGGCAGATTCCAAGGTAAGGCATGGCAATGTGGTGCTTAAATCCTGAGGAAATGTTTGATGATTTATTTATTTAATGGCTCATCATGGCAGACTAAAAAAGGTAAATTTCAACAGATTGTTTCAGTAGTGCAATAAATAATAACACCAAGTTGCTAAGAGCACCAAAGCATCTCCCCTGTAAAGACAGGTTGAGAGAGTTGGGGCTGTTGAGCCTGGAGAAGAGAAGGTTGTGTGGAGACCTCAGAGGAGTCTGAAGGGGCTCTAGGGAAGCTGCAGAGGGACTCTGTGTTAGGAGCTGCAGTGACAGGACAAGGAGCAATGGGCACAGATTGAAGGAGGGAAATTTAGGTTAGATCTTGGGAAGAAGTTTTCTCTGTGAGGGTGGTGAGACACTGGCCCAGGTTGCCCAGGGAGGCTGTGGCTGCCCCAACCCTGGCAGTGTTCACAGCCATGTTGGCTGAGCCTTGAGCAACCTGCTCTGGTGGGAGGTGTCCCTGCCCAGGGCAGGGGTTGGGGCTAGAGGATCTCTAATGTCCATTCCAAACCCTAAAATTCTATGATTTTCTGATGATTTTTGTATGGCATTCTGTGCAGGCTGTACTGATGCTGCTCTGTGCTATTCACTGCAGGGCAAGGGAAAAGTAGTCTGTGCCAGGAGAAAAAGAGAACACCACAAGTAATGCTGACATAAAGAATCAGCCTATGTGTGAGAGAACATTTACATCTGTTCCTGAGAACAAAGCCAAAATTCCTTACAGCTCTTCCCAAATACTGCCCCATGGGTAGGATGTTGTTCACTCAAGTATTTGCCATCAGGCCAAAAGAGTGAAGTTTCTGGTTTTGTGGCAGGTTGGCACCCAGTTCAGTCGTGGGGTGTCTGGAGGGGAGCGGAAAAGGACCAACATTGGGATGGAGCTCATCACGGATCCTGCCATCCTCTTTTTGGATGAGCCAACAACAGGACTTGATGCCAGCACTGCTAATGCTGTTCTGCTGCTCCTGAAAAGGTGAAGGCCTTGGAAACAGCTTCCTATTTTCACCTCTCAACTCTGATATATTTTAGTTGTATTTGAGTTGAGTTACAGTTCAAATGAGCAAACAGGGAAATCAGACATAGAATTGTTTACCAGAAACAATTGGTTTCTAACCCAATTGGTTTTTCTACCCCAGCAGTGGGGTAGAAAACAGTATCTTCCAGAGTCTGAAGGGGCTCTAGGGAAGCTGCAGAGGGACTCTGTGTTAGGAGCTGCAGTGACAGGACAAGGAGCAATGGGCACAGATTGAAGGAGGGAAATTTAGGTTAGATCTTGGGAAGAAGTTTTCTCTGTGAGGGTGGTGAGCCACTGGCCCAGGTTGCCCAGGGAGGCTGTGGCTGCCCCAACCTTGGCAGTGTTTCTACCCCAACAATGGGGTAGAAAAAAGGCTGTATGAATTCTCTCTCTCCAAGGTGAGCTAAGTATTTTCTTCTTCTTTTTTTCCTCCTCTCTCTCTCTCATGCGAAAGTTAGTCAAACTCCACCACAACTTCACTGAACTTGCAAATCCTCTTCTCTAAATGCTGAATCAACTCCCCAAGCTAACAGCTCTGTTGTTCTTCACGTTCAGGATGGCAAAACAAGGCAAAACCATCATCTTCTCCATCCACCAGCCTCGATACTCCATCTTCCGCCTGTTTGACAGCCTGACCCTGCTGGCTGCAGGCAGAGTGCTGTACCACGGGCCAGCCCAGCAGGCCGTCGACTACTTCCAGTCCATTGGTGAGCACAACAGAAGGGCCAACCACACCTGTAGTTTGCACTAACTCCACTCAAATACCAGTAGCTCTGGGTCGGAGTTGGGCACAGCATGTGTTAGCAGCCTGGGATTTTACCAGGCTAAGCATTTCTCTGGGTGTTTCACCTCTTGACCCACATGTGTGGTTGGATGAGAGGGCTGAGCTCTAATGAACCATTCCTGGGTGCATCTCAATCAGACAAAATCCCAGGCTAGGGTTGGGAAGGGCACATTGCCTGCTGTCACCAGCTAGTGTGGGGCTGTGTTTGGGGTTTGTGCTGAGCTCAGGGTTGATAATGCAGAGATGTTTGTTGTTGCTGAGCAGAGCTCACACAGAGCCAAGGCCTTTGCTGCTTCCCACATTGCCACACTGGTGAGGGAGTTGGGGGTGCATGGGAGATTGGGAGGAGACACAGCTGGGACAGGTGACCCCAACTGACCAAAGGGATATTCCATACTATAGGACATCATGCTCAGTATATAAGGTGGGAGGAAGGAGGAGGAAGGTGGGATGGGATGTTTGGAGTGGTGTTTGTCTTCCCAGCTAAGCATCCCATGTGATGTGTCCCTGCTCTCCTGGAAGTGCTGAACATGCTAAACACCTCCTGCCCATCGGGAGCAGATAATTAATTCCTTGTCTTGCTGTGCTTGTGTGTGTGGCTTTCCCTTTCCTTATTCAACTGTCTTTATCTCAACCCAGGAGTTTATAGCTTATATCCTTCCAATTCTCTTCCCCATCCTGCTGGTGGGGAGTGAGTGAGTGGCTGTGTGGGGTTAAACCACAACACAGAACTGGCTGGCAGTGCCATTAATCCCTTGGGAAAGTACAGAGCTCTTGCAGAGTGCCCTGCTCCTGCTGCAGCTGCTCCATGGGCACAGTGGGCTGTGTTCTTGGCAGCCCTGAGAGACTTTGGCCAGTGACACAACCCCCACGTAGTGCTTGTCATGCTGTTCCCACAGGTCACCAGTGTGAGCCCTACAACAACCCTGCTGACTTCTTCCTGGACATCATCAACGGCGACTCCACCGCTGTGGCACTGAGCAAGACAGATGAAACCACCACAGGTACGAAACCCAGAGCTGAGATAAAGTATCCCAACATGTGTTTTGCCACGAGGAGTTCAGTACAACCCACAGCTTTATGGCTATTGGTATGCATGAGAGTGTTAGGTACTGCTGATTCATGTTGCTCTAAGGGGGGAAAAAACACATACATAGCATTCCTAAATCCTTTTACATGGCAAATAATTCACAGAACCTGAAATAAAGACCAAATGCACATACAGCTCTACTCTAAAAAGACTCCTGCCTATGCAAGAACAGTTTGCCATTGCTGTCCCTAACCTGACTTGTATATTTTAGTGTCACACTCAAATAAGGAAATGTTACAGGTGAAAGAATGTTTTCCTGTGTTGAAATGATTATGTCTGGGAATATAAGGAACTGTTTTGTTAACTCTGAACACAGAGAAAGCTTCTTTCATTTTTGGGGCAAACCAGCTCAAGTCCTGCAGAAGCTGAGAGGATGAACCAGGACAACTGTTCCAGTTAGGGACATCATTTGATGCAGTTGTGACTTGTATTTTTTACCTAATGGAATAGTTAATCTGTTAGGAAATGACTGTTTTCCTCCCTCTGAGCAGGGTGGAATGAGGGAGTAGAGCTAGGGATAGATCAGTGCTCACCTGATCATAGAATCAACTGGGTTGGAAGAGACCTCCAAGGACATCAAGTCCAACCCTACCGTGGTCACTAGACCATGGCACTAAGTGCCACATCCAGTCTCAGCTTGAAAACCTCCAGGGATGGTGAATCCACCACCTCCCTGGGCAGCACATTCCAATGCCTGATCAGGAGGTGAAGGGTGTGTAAAAATCCCTTCTTGATGAAAAGTCATATTGCTGCCAGCTTGAAACTTCCTGGGCAGACAAGGGTTTACCTAGGCAGTTTGCTGTGAGGCTGCTCCTCTGCCAACCCCAGACAGGTTGCACAGACCAACACAGAGCTTTGCTTTTACTTCCACCAACCTTTTTGACCTGCATGCTCTGAATGCAATGAATCACTGGAACTACATGTGCATATTAACTCTTCTGGTTCGTTACTAACTGTCCCATCCTAACTCTCCTGGCTTAACTCCTAAAGAAACTTCTCATCCCTTACAGAAATGGTTATGTTTCTTCTTCATCTTTTCAGCAGAGAGCTCTGAAGATCACACTGAATATGATAAAACCTTGGCTGAGCAACTGGCAGAAAAATACTCCAACTCTGCCTACTACAGAGAAACAAAAGCACAGTTAGAGAACATTTCTGTGGGAGATAAGAAGAAAACAAAAGCAGTTTTCCGACAAATCACATATGCCAATTCCTTCTGTCACCAGCTGAAATGGGTGTCCAGACGCACCTTTAAAAACTTGGTGGGAAACCCTCAGGCTTCCATAGCTCAGGTAACACTGTTTCTGTCTCTCCTGTTGTGGTATATGTTGAATTTACTTAGCTCCTATATTAGATAAGTCATTGGAATGGGTTTGTCTCTTGATAATCAATGCAGGAAGCATCTGAAATAAGAAGAGTGGTCAAGGTCTGGGAATTAGATTCACTAGAATCATAGAATTTAGGGTTGGGGCAGCCACAGCCTCCCTGGGCAACCTGTGCCAGTGTCTCACCACCCTCACAGGGAAAAACTTCTGCCTGATATCTAACCTAAATTTCCCTCTTTCAGTTTGTGCCCATTGTCCCATGTCCTGTCACTGCAGCTCCACACTGGGAGGTGTCCCTGCCCAGGGCAGGGGTTGGGGCTGGATGATCTCTAAGGTCCATTCTAACCCGTAAAACTCTATGATTTCTTCAAGGCTGTACATTGCTTTCAAAAGTAAAGAATGCCTGGAACCTCTGCAGAATGACTAATCCTCTGGAATCCCCTAATTCAGGGGTCAAACTCAGCAGGTTTGGGCAGTCACAGCACCCCCAAAACTCCCACTACAGTTCTAGAGGAGCCAATAGACAAACTGGTCTGGAGCCAGGGGTATAAATTATCCTCATCATGGTTTATATCGTGAGTGAACAAATGGTCAGTGTGGAGGGGAAGAGAGTCCAGAATCCCTGAGGTTAAAAGGCTTTGAGTATGTGTGTGTGTGTCTGTATGTTGATACTATGAAGATCCTTAATAATTGCTTTGTAAAAGCTTGACCTTGTGACAAGAATTAGGCTCCCAAGGATCTCCTAATACCCCAAGGTTAATGGGCCTGACTTGTTTCTCACAATCTTTTCCATCTCCCCACACTCATTAGGGATGGATTTGACCAGCATTCTTTTTGGGGTCTATGGCTCCATAAGCCTTTTTTTCATTAATCTGCTCCAAATTGGACTTGATATGATCCCTGCTTTCCACTGCCATTGGCTTAGGGGCTGAATTATCCCTGACGTTTGCTCCTTTCGGCAGGATCTTAGCCAGAGGGTACCATGGATCAAGTAGTTTATGGTGTTAAGACTCCTGCATTGCTCAGGCTTAAAGATGACAGAACTGCCTGATACCATCGATTGCCCTGAGCTTTTTGTCGTTTGCATTTAGCGTTTAAGAAGTGTGATGCACACGCTTCAGCCTCGAGGCACTGAGCTGTTACCTGTGCCATTGCAGTTGTGTTACAGCCTGCAAATATTAGCACACAAATATTAGCACAACCAGTCCCATGAGTAGGATGTGTGGTAGATCCCAGAAATTACACACTGTGGAGCATGGCAATAAGCTGTCCTTCCCATCCCAGCAGTCAGGAAGGGCTGATTGCCCAGCTCAAAGCTGCCTTGGCATGGCTGGAGAAATTCCTGCAGAAAACACTGCCTTGAAGAGCTGTGCTCACCCCTAGAGCTCAAATGACCCTTGGAGTCACTGTCTGTCCCATGGGGGATGAATAGTGCAGAATATCAGTAGAGAGAGAGGAGCAATGTTGCAATTAACTTAATCACAACACCCAAGAATGGCTGAAATGGTGGTGAGGGAAAGGACTTTGGCTCAGGTGCATGTGGTGCTGGGGGTGCCTCATTCTACCTTGCCCCACCAAGCCCCTGCTGTCATCCTCCTTGCATGTCTAGTACTAGGATCCTCCTGGAGGATCCACTCCTGGAGCAGATCCACAGTGTCATGTGTCTGGTGCCACAGCAGGTCATGGAAAAGCTGTGATGTTACTGCAGGATTGTGCCTCCTGCCAATGCCACCACAGAAAACTGAGCAGCAGCTGAAGTTTCCATACTGTCCCTCCTGTCCCACGGCCTTGCCCACCTTGGGCTGCCACTGTGGACACGTGGCAGTGGGAGCTCTGTGGCTCACACACCTCTTGAAGGATGCCATGGCTCAAACCTCACAGTGCTGCAGAGCTGAGGGCTGCAACCACCCCATCCACCCCTTCCCAGCCTGGACAGCTTTTCTCGTCTCTGAAAAAACCTTCTGGCAATCCACACTCACCTGCTCCATATGTCAAAAAAGCTCCTGAAGCTTTGAAGAAATGAGAATTATATTTTCCCTCTTCTTTCCTTTTTTTTTCCCCTTTTAGGTGTGCGTTACAGCTTTCCTGGGACTGGTTGTAGGTGCCATTTTCTTTGGACTTAAAGAGGACGCTGCTGGGCTGCAGAACAGGTTAGTCACTTTAGCTAATGACTCTCCAAAGCTTTGATAATGCTCCCTCAACATTGTGATAGGATGGCACAAGGCTTTGAGGCTGAGAAGGAACCCATGAACCCTTTAGGAAGTGTATTACCTCTTTCAAGCAAATGCTTCCTGCATCAATAGGTAAGGCCAAGAGTGTGTTAGTGACTCTGAAAACTCTCAGATAAGGGTGGTGAGACACTGGCCCAGGTTGCCTAGAGAGGTTGTGGCTGCCGCAACCCTGGCAGTGTTCACAGTTGCTCAGTTTTCTCACAATCTCATAGAATCATGGAATTCTAGGGGTTGAAATGGACCTTGGAGATCATCCAGCCCCAACCCCCTGCCCTGGGCAGGGACACCTCCCACCAGAGCAGGTTGCTCAAGGCTCATCCAACCTGGCTGTGAACACTGCCAGGGTTGGGGCATCTCCTACCACCCTGGGCAACCTGTGCCAGTGTCTTACTACCCTTTTCTGAGAGTTTTTAATGGGTCAGGAAATGACATTAAAAACCCCATCCAAAACACATCCACCTCCCCCAAAAAATCAGCTCATTTGACAGCTTTGACTACACCAGAGAACATCCTACCCTTGCATGCCAAAACCAAACCATGTGTGCCATGTCTGCTTCAGGCTTGGCATAGACTCAGGCTTGTAGCCAAGCCTTTTTTCCCAAGCAATAAGGGCTAGGAGGTCACATACTGCTGACCTTCAAGCACTACACTTGGATTTACCCACACTGCAGTGGAACCTCACCCTTTACATGCCATTTTCACTACCCCTTGCTGCTTTGTTTCTTTGCAGAGTGGGTGCAATGTTCTTCCTCACCACCAACCAGTGCTTCAGCAGCATCTCAGCCATTGAGCTCTTTGTTGTGGAAAAAAAGATATTTATGTAAGTAAAACACCCAAAAAGCTTATCAGGCACTACCTTTAGAGAGTTTGTGTCAGCCTTGCTGTAGGTAATTTTCAGTTAAGTACACCCAGTGCAGAGTTTCACTGAGAGTGTTCATTGCAAATGTTCTTTTCAGCCTTTTAGTGAGTTGTCTGCAGACCCCCCAGGCACTACCCGTGAGTGCAAATGGCTCAGAGTCTAATATCATTGACATGACAGAGTCAAAAAAACCCCCCTGAATACTCACTTTTGGTGTTGGTTAGTAAGTTTGTGGCTTGCTAGTGAGAGCAGTAAATACTAACTGGATTCTTTAAAGCTATGGATATTATACTGTATAAAAAATAAGGATTATTTATACTTTCTCCTCTCTGTTTTAGTGGCATAACACAAATATTTACTAAAAATCATGTGCATGAGTATCTATGGTCATTTACCTATGAGAGTGCCACCAGTGTGTGGTACATTGAACATTAGTGCATTAGAGCCTAACTGTGAAGGATTTTTTTCGTGTTTGAGCTAGAATTCATCTTTCTCCTGATGAAAATGATCAATTTTTTCCCAGTTTGAGCTAGAATTCGTTTGTCTCCTGGTGAAAATAATCCTACTGTTTTTCAGTATCAAATCTGTAATTTGCTGTCCATATCTCTGTGTTCCAGACATGAATATATCAGTGGCTACTACAGAACCTCTGCATATTTCATCTCAAAGCTCATGGCTGATTTGATCCCCATAAGGACTGTACCAAGCATCATCTTCACCTGTATAGTTTACTTCATGTTAGGCAAGTGTGAACTCCCACAGTCACGTTACAACCTCCTCAATACATCAACAAGCACCAGCATTTGTAGATGTACATGGAGACAGGTGTGTTTAGATAGGCTGCAGCACCAGAGCAGCATGGCAATGTTACTGCATTTGCTTTTAGCCCAGCATGGTGTTTTCTGTAGAAAAGACTCACTGTCAGAGGTGTAAATGACATCCATCACAGACTCTGTGCTGGGTCTCATCTCCACAGGCCCCAGAAGGAAGCATGTCATAACCCTTCCTGCACAGGTTTGAGCTATTTCTGTTCATCTAGGGTCACCTTAGCTCCTGATGAATTTTATACACTTTTCCAGTCCTTGCAAGGACATCTAAAAGCAAAAGTTTTGTTTGAAAGTCTTCATATTTTGTTAATTAATATCACCTTTTATTTTTTGTGAGATACTTTCTGTTTACTGAGCAGACTTCAAAAGCTGCTGGCACCAACTCTCACAACCCTAGAACACCTTCAAACATCAGCCTCAAAGCATGTCCCAGGCAGAGCATTTTCCTAGAGCAAAGTTTCAGGTCTTGGTATCTTTTTGGGATGTCCCAACAGCTTGAAAGTATAAGCAAGATGTAAAAATAATCACAGTTTGCTTTGCTCTGAGGCTTTTTTCCCCTAAGGCATAGGAAACAAGGCCATATCAGCAAGAGGCTCTCAGATAGTGAAACTGGAGTGAGATAGACATCCAGGCTGGATGAAGCCTTGACCAACCTGCTCTGGTGGGAGGTGTCTCTGCCCAGGGTAGGGGGTTGGGACTGGATGAGCTCTAAGGTCCATTCCAACCCCTAAAATACTATCACAGAATCAACCAGGTTGGAAAAGACCTCCAAGATCATCAAGTCCAACCCTACTGTGGTCACTAGACCATGGCACTAAGTGCCACATCCAGTCTCAGCTTGAAAACCTCCAGGGATGGGGAATCCACCACCTCCCTGGACAGCCCATTCCAGTGCCTGATTATCTTCATTGTTACTGCAGTTTCAGGCATACTACTTATTCACCCTGTCCTCTGTGGTCAGGGCAGGTACATGAGGGTGCCACAAGCTCCATGGCACTCTTGGGTCTTGGTGACATAGCCCATGCTCAAACAGATTGTGTTCTGTAGGCAGGACACACTCTGAAATCAGGAGAGTGTTCAGGTTAGGGTAGAGCTTTTGGCAGGGTCATACTGAAACCCTTCTCTGTTGTAATCTTTAAGGTTTGAAACCAACAGTGGGAGCCTTCTTCACAATGATGTTCACCCTCATGATGGTGTCCTACACAGCCACGTCCATGGCACTGGCCATCGCCACAGGGCAGAATGTGGTCGCTGTAGCCAACCTGCTCATGACTATCACATTTGTCTTCATGATCGTGAGTAGCACCATTCAGTGTTCTAGACTGAGTCCTGAACTCCTAGAAATGCTGGCGTCTAGGGATCCTAGCACAGAGTTCAGCTGAATTCTGCAGAGAGGCTGTTGGGTTGAATGTTCTCATTTGACCTTTGAATGAAGAAGAACTGGGGGGCCAAGGAG